CTTAAGGGAAGTCGGACTTATGTTGAAGCGCTTACAGCGCATGAGGGTGATTCTGTCACGGTTCGTTTAGCGACTGGAAGTCGTGTCACTGTAGCTAGATCTCTGCTGAACTTAGGTATAACTGTTTTGTACGTTGATAGCATTGAACGCTGTCTTGTCTTTGATTTGGACTTGAAACATGTCTCATCCTAGGTATGGCTTGGATTGAACGCCAGGGGCCATGGATCGATTGGATGTCTAAGATCTTAGGTGCTACGCGCAATGTTAATAGCAAAGTTTTGGTGAGTCATAAATCCACCTTTGATAGGCAACGGAAGCACTATTGGCGAGAGCCTTTGATAGAAGACGTCAAAGTCCTGTACATTTGAATGTCTGGGTTATCTAACGCCAATGTTGAAAATACGGATTCTGAGCATAGCCCGTTGAGTATTAGTGGTATAGCACGTACTCCTTCGAGTGTCACTCGTTGTGATAAAGATTCACAGCATGCTGAAAACATGGTTGTCCTGTGGTCGAGTTATCAAGGATATGATTCCTTTGACATGTGTGTGGCGGTACGTGAATAGGCACCATGTGAGGTAGGCCGTGAAGGCACCACACCTCATGTTGGTAATAGTTTTGCTAGCAAAACGCCATAATGTCCAGGGCTAGGCACATATAATGCAAGTGAAGTGGCACGTTTAAATATAATCGGTGAAGTAGTCGAATAACGTGAAACTTCACCGAATACCGGTCAAGACATCAGATCTCGTATAGAGCGTACTACTACTAGAAGTAACCACTGGAACACTATTGTCTCGACTTCAGAGGAGTGTGTAGGGTCTCATCGACGAGACGACCTGGAAGCCAGGTGGCAATAGTTAAGCGACAGGCGTCCGAGAAATCACAAAGTGACAATAATGATCCACTATATACACATATCAACTGAGTGACTGTTCAGATTGAGAGGAGTGTTAGCCTGGAAACACTTCCATCTTTGGGTGCTCTTTGTGGGCTGGACGAAAAGTCTGATGGCGAATTGAGACAGGCCTTGAAGGCAGTAGATTTATCCGAATTAGTGGTCATTCGGCCGAATGTCGAGCTGAAATCGTCCTCATTAATATATAAGTCGATTGAGAGAACACCAAGGCAGCACTTAGTGCCCAGAGTAACTCCTCTATCCTTAAGGATCCTTTGGATCGCTTCTATAATTTGGTGAAGGAATCTCACGATGTGGTGTGTCACAACCCACCATCCGTCTTACCTCTAGAAAGAGGTGTGCGGCATGAAATGGAACTATTTTTAAAAAAATTGAATTCTGCGTAATACGGAGTGGTATTTACCTAATGGAAAACGTAACGTCATTGACAGTTTCTTTTGTGTAAAGAACGCGGCTGGAATGGTGCACGAGATGAAATCTCCCCATTCCTCACAGATATGTGTGTCAGGCATCCAAATGTTAAGTCACGCATTTTTATGCTTATAATAAGCTTATTGCTGCCACTATCCCAGCTCATACACCAATCTCCAGAATAGATGTTTTTCAAAATAATGTAATGGGATGTACATTGCACAGTGCACTCTACCTTGTCGGTGGAACTTACCGGATACTCATGCGAGCAAGCGCAGTTTTTGCTAACAGGGGTTATTACACCGAGTGGTATGCTTTATGAGTGGCTCGTTAAGCCACAAGGGTGCGTCAAATACCCTGGATACTTTTAATCGTCTGGCGAAGCAAATATTCAGATCTGATTGAGGCTATGCACAAACGAACCATGATTACATCTCTTTCCATAGTCGTGCAAAGAAAGGTCGATCTGATGTGGATTATTGTGGTCAAGCCGATCAAGATCAGGTCCAAAAGCCTAGGTGATTCAGCTAAGCACGAGGTGGTATTTTCTGAATAGCTCGTGGAATGACAGCCAGCTAATTGGAATGCACCCGTAAAGAGAACCCAACGGGCTCAACCCCATCTATTTCGCACGGTCCCAGACTGCAGAAATATCGAGAAACCGCATTTTAAAGACCGCGATTAGAGGACCGCGATAACAGGACCGCGACCTGGCGTAATACGTGATACAGATGTATTGCAAATCCATTCGGAATGGAAAAGACACGTGGCAGTCAATCCTGACATACGGAGTGGGCATGGTTATAGTTTTCGGTTTCGTTTGGCTAACACTAAAGAGAGTTCCATTTGCTTTTAAAACACGTACGTGTCGTTCTCCTTCCGGGTTGGACATTTTGACCACCCGAAATCAGAGAACTCCGACACCAAGGGCAGGAAAATCAATCCTGGAGCTATTTGGCCAGGAGTGCAAGGACTCTCAACACATCTCATCTGCGATCGGACGCAGGCAACCTTACTGGTTGAAGTACAAGATCGCGAGACGGCTCAAGTGGTCAGAAGGCTCGCGACTCAAAGTACCCCATTATTAGCACAAGGCGATCAAGGCTAATCGCAGCGATACTATGAAAGCGCCAACCAGGAACACGCGATCTGGTGTAAAATTTCCACCCGATAGACACCAAACCTCTGAAACGATCAAGTTCAGCATTGAGTCAAGTCCACCTAGAAGAGTGCAAGCCGCACAACTGACTGGTACACAAGGTGAGGAGGAAACAATTGAGAGCGATATCGGAGTGCACCCTACATTAGTTGGTTGTCTGGTCGCCAGTAGAGATCGGGGTTCACCTCATAAAATGAGCAAACCCCACTCCACCTCTTGATGTGCTCATCATTTACGAGCGGTGCTCAGGTCCATGAGCACAAATGAGTTGTATGAAAATGCCTTCCAGTGCTTCTTTGGTTCAGAAAAGATTACGTTTAATAATGCTTCATTGGGAAGCGAGGCCTTCGAGTTGACCACGCTTAAGTTAAAGATTAGTCAATTGTCGGCATTAACGATCCAAAGAGATAGATTTAGTGGCTTGGTTTGCCACCTACTTGCGTGAGTTTTGTGCGAATTACGCTAACATGGCTTGGCCATTATCCAATCTCCTTAGTATGGATATCGATTAATGCTGGGGTAACATTATACACGTTGCTTTTCAAGCAGTTAATAGTAGTCTCCTTCATGCTCCAATACCGGCTTTGCTTGATTCTGATCTGTTAGATGTTGATGCACTAGTGCAGTAAAAAGATGAAGTAAAAGCAAAATGCATTGAGAGTTAAGTACCCTTCGTTGTTAGTTCTACCACATGCATTTGATGACCAGCACTACAACTTGACCAAGTCGAGTATTACCTGGCGCACACCCAGCGCGTCCATAGCCGTATGGCTCCCCTGGTCTCACGTGACGTACGTATTTAGCACCCTGGTCCCATCGGTCAACTTGACAGCCAATCATGTGAGTTTCCCTTTACCTGTCTTAGGGCTTGTATTCTTCACACCGAGCTTAAGTGACCATTCAGAAAAGATATCTTTTAACACTCCTTTTAATTTTATCAGCCTTAAATATCTTCAGTTTGAATATTTTTTGCAGGTCTTCTATCCTTGAGCGTGAAACGTGTTCCTGAGGATGTTTGTCATCATTTTCTCTGACTTCCGAACCTTGGTATTACCGTTCCTTCAAGTGCATAGTGACAGGTAGATGAACATTGATGTCCTAATGCTTCGCGCTTGAGGAGCTCTTCCTCGCTTTGAATTGTTTGATGGCCTTTATTATTAATCCGTACTGGCATCGACCACTTACCTGAAGCTGTAGTTCTACCAGCAGCTCCTTTACGCTCATTAATTCCCGGCCGGCTTGAAAGGCAGATATGAATTTCGCCTCCATCGTGCTTGGAGACACCCTTGACTGCTGAATGCATGACTAGAAGACAATAGCACCATCCATTGTCAGCGCACACCCAGAGACCGACTTACTACCGGCCTTGTCTTCAACAAAATCTGCGTCACTCCAATTTCCTTTTTTTAAATCATCCATAGTCGGCCCGAAGCCGATGTGATGTAGCTTCAAACTCTCCATTTCTTATGCTAAAACGCGATGCGTTTCGCTATTTTTCAGTCCTTGACGGTCGGTTAGTGCAAATGGCGCGTAGCCTTGTACACCGCAAATCAATAGTAGGGGCGGATATACCTTCCACCATGGAGCAAGCTCCCAACCAAAGAGTAAAACGACCCCAAACTTCTTTCGTCACTTGCTCCCTTTGCAGGTAAGAAGCTAAAGCCCTCCGTTTCAGCCTCGTTGCGCTCATCCCCAAATGGCGCCCGTTCAGTACCCGCTTATTCCCAATTAATTGCCTTAGGAGAACGTCTATCATCACATCTTGGTTCACCACGTACCCATGGGTGTCATAAAAAGAGACTCGGAGTCGCAAAAACTTCCTCAAGTTCCCAGTTATGTGAGCGACAGTGTCTCTAGTCCAGAAAGATATCGTTCACTACACCTTTCTTCATACCAGTGACCAATATATCAACAACGTGCACCCCATCACTGTACATGTAACGGGCACCCTGAAGCTTGTACTGATGACAGTACAAGCTACTTATTCTAACGACAGAATAAGGCGGTGCCTCGTAACTTCACGTACACTGTTACGTGCAGAGGAAGACGGTAAGGAGAAGCGAGTACTTGGTTAAAGTAAAAAGTAGAACTGTATTTATAATAGTTAATGTCTGCAATAAATCACTATTCATCCTCATCTAACTATGCCTGAATACAAATGTGCATATCAACTATCTGCTCACCACTCATTGCGTGCGTCTGTCGTGGCGCGTCTTCGTTGGTTGATATAATGGCCTAGATCAACCAATTAGGAACTACTCGTAAGTGCTGCAGAATATTTGTCCTTATGACAATATTCTGAGAATGTAACTCTTATAGTTATATTCTATAAACAATTTCTTATAAATTGTTATGTAACGATTCACCCCGTTACATCACCCACCTAAACCACCAGTCACTTTAGTGACTCATTGACTGAATGGATACTCGTCCCAAATCATTTGGGACAGGGTTTACACTTGTTGGTCCGAGTCCACAGTCCATCAGTTTCATCGCATGATTATCTAGTCCATGCGGTGCGCGAGCAAGGCCGCCGAGAGCGCGTCCGCACGTCTCTGTGCGGACGCCGAAGCAGAAACCGCAGCAACTGATGTCTCATCGGTTGCTGAAGCGACTCAGCCTGCGTCACCTGGTGATGCAGGCGCTCGTCATGAAGACACTCATGTCTTCACTGAGTATGAGCTCGGTGTCTCATACTCTCCTGATACGGAAGATGGATCTGCATCGACGGCAATTGAAACCAAGCCGCCTGCCTAGCGTGGCATGGATGGTGGTATGCGTCGCTGCATCTTTGGTTCATCTGGTGAATCAGATGAACCATCGCCGAAGCGAAGGTGCTCGAAGTCTCAAGACTCGGGCGCATGCAGTGGTGTCAGTTCTCCTATTGACACCACTTCGCAACGAGATGCCAGTACTTCTGTCGGCACGTCTCAAGAAGAGCGGGACCGCAGTGTTTTGCGTCTCGCTCCCGAGAAGAAGGCATGGATGCCTCCCAAATCCGTCATGGATCACTTGTCGGCGACGACGAGTGATCGTTGTCGAACACGGTTGTCCGATTCGTCAAGGATCCATCAGCTTGACCCCAGCGCGAAAACTATCGCGCTGAGAATGAATTCTTCATCGATGCTTTCTTTAGACATCGATGGTACAGTGGGAATCACAAGCGTGATGGTCCCTCACTGCTTCAAGCGTGGAACGCTTACATCCATAACCTTGAGGATGTAGGTCGTGACGTTTCGAACGATAAAGTTATCAAAGCTCACGATAAGCTTGAGAAAAGAACTCCGACAGGTGCACGCTACAAGCGGCATCGTCTGTCAAGGGAGAAGGGATTACCCTGCCTCTCTTGGGTAAACTCGTGCCCATGTTGTGTGAAAAACCCTGCGCGCGCACCTAAGGAGGCTTACCTCTCAATAGCCCGTGGTGGCGCGTACGTATCTCTAGTGAGATGTACGAAGGGATTGACAACCTGAAATCCCTTTGCGACCGTGTCGGGAAGACTTTCTCCAGCGGTCCCTCTGCGGCATAGGATGTGCCGCGTCGTACTGCTCAACCAGACCCAGCACGTCAACCGTCAGTTGGGAGCGGGGCTCCCAAGTATCCCAGGACGGGGGACAGCCGCGCCACCGGACGAGATAACTCGTCCGACGTCCGTTCACGTCGCGGTGGTTCAACAGCCGCTCAACCAGAAAACGCTGACCACCGCGAGAGTCCTCTAACGGAGGTGGAGGAGGAGGGAAGACGCTCTCCACACAATCGTGGGGAAGCGTGTGTTCCCGAGAGCCTCTTTGATCGCGTAACGCAAGGGTTACGTGGCGATCTCGAACATGAGCGGGACAGGCGTCTCCAAATGGCGGACACTGTCTCGAATCATCGAGCTGAGTTTGACTTTGCTCAGCTTGAGAACTAGAGAGCTCTGACATCTCTTCGTGACGAGCTAAAGGTAGCTCGTGGGATTGTTGATCGATCTCGGGATGAGATAACTACTCTTCAGACCCTTGTCGATGCCCACCATCGGGAGCTCAAGGCTCTCTGTGAGATGCTTGAGCGCAAGGACGTTCTTCATCGGAAGAAGCAGCGTACTGATGGTACGGCTTAAGCCGACCAACGTAAAACGTGGGATGCGTTCGCATCTTACGTGGTAACTCGATCGTGTATGCATTGCCTGGGCGGTGCGATACACGAAATGGGCCGATGCACTTGGGTAGAAGTTTACTGCTACCCAAGTTAGTCACTACATGCTTTGGTAGATTAACCGTAGACAGTAGGACTAAGTCACCTTTATTAAATAAAAGAGTGTTTGCCCTTCCATTCTTGTCAGCGTTTTGCTTTTGCTTATCCACCGCTTCGGCGATGGAGTCTTGCACAAAACGGACCTACCGTTTCACGAGCCAGTATGAACTCATCTGATGAATTGTTAGCTTCAGTGCGCTGTGAGTGCACAGCAGCGACATCAATCTTTTCTTAAGTGAGGGCTTCCGCACTCTCACTGGCGTCATCTTCTTCGATATCGATGTTATCGATATCGGCAGCAAACGCAATGACCTCTTCGTCAGAGCGTGATGAGCGTGAACCAAATCGGTTTTTGCTCGCGCGAGTCCCCCCCCTTAAACCAGAGTTACACTCTATTAAGGTGGGTACACGCGGATGGCGTAAGCCATTCACGTAAAACGGTGTATGTGTCGTGACGCATGCACCGAGTTGTTAATGGCAAACTCTACCATTGGCAAGAACTCACTCCAACTTTTAAAGGAGTGTACGTATCCTCGAAGTATCTCTTCGAGGACACGATTGGCACGTTCCGTCTGACCATCTGACTCTGGATGGTCAGATGTCGACATCTTCAAGCGCGTTCCGAGTGATTTGAACACGGAACGCCAGAAATCAGCTGTGAAGCGTGGATCTCTGTCTGATACGAGTTCACGGGGCAACCCATAAAGTCGGAAGATGGTGTCGATAAAGACACAAGCACAGCCACTTGCTGTGATTGACTCGGGTACAGCCACTAGGTGTACCATTTTGCTGAATCTGTCAACAAATACGAGAATACCCGCATTCCCGCGTGCGTCTTTGGGTAACCCGAAGTCAAAAATTATTGAGATGGATTCCCAGCACTCAGCCGGAACCGGTAGAGGCTGTAAAGGTGCACGCAGTGAAGGACTTGACTTCACTCGTTGACAGACTTCGCATGCGCGAACATACTTTCGCACAAACTGATACTGTCGGGGCCAGTAAAAGTCTCGACTCACCGTGAGATATGTTTTCTCCCGGCCACGATGTCCTCCTATAGGAGCATCGTGATACTCGAACATGATCCACAAACGCAGATCAGTATCATCTGGAATGACAACACGTGGTGTGTCACCAGAAACGGCTGTATAATACAGTAAACCGTTACGAGTAGTGTATCGATCTGATGCAGATCGATACGCAGACGACAATCGTTTCAACGATTCTCGAGATGGTTGGGAGAGATGTGTCAACAACTTCACAATCTCACCATCTTGGGCGTATGCCCGCCTCACATCATCATACAACGTTGTAGATGGGACTGAGGACGTCATAACCGCAACAGTGACTGTCTCACTGTTGGGTTTCGCGACTGTTTTAAAGTCGGGACGACGTGAGAGTGCATCAGCGACGACATTAAGTCGTCCTGGTTTGTACTCGACCGTAAAGTTGTATTCTGCAAAGAATGACAATCACCGCGCCATTCGTTGTGAAAGGTGCGGGCTGTTCACTGGCGTGCGTAACGACGCATGGTCAGTGTAAACAATGAAGGGTCTATCTCCTGATAGATAGACTCTGAACTTCGCAAGTGCATACTTCATGGCAAGGAGTTCCTTTTTATGCATTGGATAGTTCCGCTCAGATGATTGCAGCTGACGCGACTGATAGCAGACGACGCGTTCAACGCCTTCAAGATCGTACTGCATTAATGAACAGCCGATTGCGAAATCGCTGGCATCACAGACCACATGAAATGGCCTGTCCTGGTCGGCAATTGCTAGGACTGAGGATAGTATCAAGCTCTGCTTGATACCATCAAAGTAGCGCTGACATTCACTGTTCCATATTTACCTCTCGATCCTTTTCAACAAACGAGAGAGGTGTACAGTCATCTCGGCGTAATCGCGTGAATACTTATGCAAATACGCCTCTAGCCCAAGGAATTTTCGAAGACCTTTGACATCAACCGGCACAGGCCAGTCGGTGATCGCCTTGATCTTTTCGGGATCAGGACGTACACCGTTCTTACCAACGATGCACCCAAGAAGTGGTATTTCGCTTGCTGCAAATATACACTTCTTGAGGTTTGCATACAATTGATGCTTTCGCATGATTGTAAGAACCTGTCGGACGTGGTACCTGTGAACCTCAACATCCGACTTTCCATCCATAGCCCGACTATGGATGAATACGTCATCGAAGTAAATCGGCGCGAATTCTCGTACTGGTCTCAACAGATGTGATACACATCTGTTGAACGTGGCAGGGGCATTACTAAGCCCTTGTGGCATTACTAGCCATTCCCAGAGCATGCCGCTAGGCGTGCTAACTGCGGTATAGGGTATATCCCGTTCTCGTATGAGGATTGGATAGAAGCCATCCATAAAATCCATGGACGAAAAGATGGTACTCTTTGACATACCATCAATGATGGCGTCCTTCCTTGGTATCGGCGTCTGAGCCGGTACCGTTGCAGCATTCAACTTGTTAAATGCGTGCACTATCCGCCACCCTCCTGTTGCTTTTCGCACACAGAAGGTCGGAGAGCTATGTAGGGAAGTTGATTCCCTCACATGGCCCGCAGCTAAACGATCGGCAAAGAACTTGTCGATCGCAAGTACTTGTTCACGAGGCAGTGGCCACTGCTTCATGATACAGTACTTCGAGCCTGGTTTAAGCTCGACCTCGTGTCGAATACCTTTATCCTTCGGTAATTCGCACGGAACAGTTTCAGGGAATACATCCTTGAATTCAACCAAATCTTCATAGAGAGGATTTGTCTTGAGCGATTCCCACGATTGGGAGTCATATCGCTCAACTCGTGTCTTTTCATCTAGGACACTCTCGTCCATAGATGAACTACTGAGAACTCTCTCGTTCTCAGTGAACACTGTTGCTGACCTTATGTCGGATACACACTCGTCGTCAGCGACGGGTACGCAGATCTGCTTGACTTTGCCACTACGCAGATCACGCAAGAACATTTTATGTTCGAACGTTGGCAACTGAGTGATCTCCGAAGTCAGCTTCGGAGGCGCAATCAGATCAAGTGTAGAAGCGCCTACACTTGATCCGTTATGGACTCGGACATTCAATGTCTCTGTCATTTCCTGGGGACTTATTCTCTCAGGCCTCGAAGGACTTATTCCTTCGGCTTCCCGGGGAATTATTCCCGCGGGTTTCGGGGAAATTATTTCCGCCGTATTTGTAATCTTGGGACTTATTCCATTTACTTCCTCTAGCTGGGGTTGCGCAACCACAGCGAGATCCTCTACGAAAGACTCTCCAGTCGATCTAGGATTATCGTTTCGCTTAACATGAGCGATCGATTGTTTCTCTTCTAGATGTTCCCCGCTAGGGATACATCTTTGCCCCGGTCCACTCGACTTATTCGAGTGGGGGACCTTCGGCGCAGCCTGTGTTTCCTCACAGCCGCCGGAGCTTTGCTCCGAAGTGTAACCGTTTAATACACTCAGGTTTTGTGCAGTCGTACTAACGACCGTACCACAAGTGAGGCCATCGCACTCACTCGTAGTACATCCACACGCTTGTGGACGCTCCAAAACGTTCATCAGATGGCCATCTGATGAACAAGCGGCAGGCATCGTTACTGTCCGATGTTGCCAGTTTACCCGTGGTTCGTACCTTCTGAGCCACGGTATTCCAAGGATGACATCAAATTTGTCATCCAAATCCAATACGATAAAGTCATCGTCATATTGGGTATCTTCTAGCGTATAGTGGATCTTCACTATACGCTTCATGACGGTTACGGATGCGCCTGTCGCAAGACGTACCGTCATCCTCGTAGGAGGTGTGTCACATTCACTGAACTTGAAGCGACCATCTTGTAGCGATTGGCATCGCACAAAATTGTTGGACGCCCCACAATTGACTAGAGCTCGAAGGGACAACTTATTCGTCACTTCGAGTTTCAAGGTAATGAGTGAGACCTCATTACCTAGAGCAGCAACGCACAACGTTTGTGTGTTGGGAGCAACCTTCATCAAGAGGCCTACAAATTCTCTTGACGTTGCTGGATCAGTAGGGTGCTCCGCACCTACTGATCCTGTCCGTTTTTTGCCGGTCCATCCCGTTGTTGCGTCTTTGCACCAACAGCGGACCCACGTCCCTGCCCCTTTCTCATGGGTGGACGGTCACTACGCCCAGTGTTGCGAGACACTGGACGAGGGGCACTACACTCGTAAGCGTAGTGTCCTGTCTTCTGACATCTGTTGCATTTCTGCAACTTCTTGTAGTCTGTAGAGCGAGCCTTCTCGCTCTCTACATAACAGAGTTCCATCGGCTCTGGACCTCCGTTGTCACATCGTCTCGGTTGACGATATGATGTCGAGCTGGCGCGAGCCTGTCTCAGACTGAAGTCTTCCTGTTCCGCAATGGAAATGGCTTGTTCTAGTGAATTAAATTCAAGTCGGAACAGGTGAGTATTGACGGGACCATCCGCAAGACCCTGCGTGAACACCGAAACCAACGTGTGTTCATCAACTAGTTTGGAACTTATACAACTCGTGAGATGTCGTATATGTTGAGCGTAAGCGTGCACATCACGCTTACCCTGCTTGAGCTTCAAGAGTTCGGTTCGAGCCCTGAACTCAGCTCTAGGCGGTTCAAACGTTTGTCTGAGCCGCGACTTGAAGACTTCCAACGACCCAAACGCATATGGGTCGTGCAA